CCTTCACGTGCCAGAGGACGTGTGCGTCCAGTGCCTTCTGCTTGGGTTTAACCCTGCATGACTTCTTTACTACGTAAATTGATTTTTGTTAATAAATTATAGAACACGTAATTTATAGAAGAAAATTCTTGCGTTTAATCAAAATAAAGTGAGCTAAATCCGGTGAGAAAAATGGGGAAGGAGGTAGGTTGTCGGGCCCTCGGTTCGGCCCCCCAATCATTTACAAACATTGGCACTCCTGGAGACTGAAATGAATTCGGAAAATTCTGTCCGTTCTAATGGGCTTGAACGAAATGCCGAGCTTCATACTGCTGAGGCTTTCTACTTAAAAACGAGGGGCGTGTACAAAAAACTCCAATTACTGGCACGTCAGGCAGTCGCAAGTGGACGACGAAAAGCGACCTTATTTTGAAGAGAGCAACAATTTCGCCCACACGCGCCGCATTCCCCCCTGCGCCTTAATGACGCGGCTGAGCGCCAAAGTTGAGTTAAAAAAACACACACAGCGGACGTCGACTTAAAGCCTTACACCAACACGCAATGCAGAGATCTCTTGGCCCTAGCAAGCTGTTGCAGTTGCGTTTAGGACTGGCAACAATCGCAGCTGCTCGCTCCTCCAGGACCAAGATGGTCACCAAGAATGAAATGACGTTCCTGTTGTTTTCAATTATAAAGGATGGAGATTTCTCCACGCCGGAGGTATCCATCGATAAATTATCATGGCAGGTTGGCTTCTCTGGACCAGAGAGCGCACACCAGATGAATGGCCTCGCCGCCAAGGACATTGCACCCGGGGCCTACTCTCCTTTTCCAAATGAGTGCCCAGTCCGCACCCTTAGTACGCTCCAGGGAAATACAAGTGTTGCAACAGAAACTCCTAGAAGGCTAATCACCAGCAGTTTTATGCTGCGCTCCCTCCGACGCAAGCTGTGTGCATGATGTGATTCTCGCAATATGCAAAGGTATTTCTGCGCTGTGAACCAGCACTGTGCGCTGTGTGCGCTGTCCGAGCTGCTTCGTGGGAAAAATATGTGACACTGGTGGTCCCTGGCCACCAGACGGTCTGACGTGTTCGTCTTTTGGTGTGGTCCACGCCCTGATGTGAGTCATGTAGGCGGCCCAGCGCGTCTGGACGGGCAGCTTCCGGATAACACAAACGCCACAGGTCGTCACAAGCAGCCGAGGGCAGCACAGCTCACTGTATGTCAGTCAGGGTCAAACGAATCACACACGCACGCACACACACACACACACGCGCGCGCGCGCGCGCGCGCGCGCACGCACGCACATCACACCGTGTGTGTGTGTGTGTGTGTGTGTGCGCGCGTATGTGTGACTGGTCGCCCGGCCGACACATATGCCAGACTTTGTTCTGTGACTGTTTTGCTCTAGCAATATTACAATTAGGAAATAATTTAGCAAGCCCAGATCCATCAATGCTTCATGGAATTTCCATGATGTAATGAGTAAACATATGTGGCAACATAAACGGTTGGACATAAACGTGCTCACTGAGAGCCCGAAGTTTTCTCTTTTCTCACTCACTCTCAAGCTCACGGGTTTCCTGAAAATGCGAGACAGGAAGCCAGCTGTGGCGCGGCCAGCGGCACCCACCGACGATTGTCTGCACTGCACTTGGCAAAAACAGATGGAGTGCCACCACAGCGGCACAAGTGGTGGAAACTACACCCGGTTCGGACAGCTATAAAAAACAACAAACATGGTCTGACAAATCCTCGTGCGGGAACTTTTCTGTCTGCCAACACATCCCCCAGACGGCCGCTGTCCCGAATGGCCACCTCTGTCTGCCAACACATCCCCCGGACGGCCGCTGTCTCGAATGGACACCTCTGTCTGCCAACACATCCCCCGGACGGCCGCTGTCTCGAATGGCCACCTCTGTCTGCCAACACATCCCCCGGACGGCCGCTGTCTCGAATGGCCACCTCTGTCTGCCAACACATCCCCCGGACGGCCGCTGTCTCGAATGGCCACCTCTGTCTGCCAACACATCCCCCGGACGGCCGCTGTCTCGAATGGCCACCTCTGTCTGCCAACACATCCCCCAGACGGCCGCTGTCTCGAATGGCCACCTCTGTCTGCCAACACATCCCCCAGACGGCCGCTGTCTCGAATGGCCACCTCTGTCTGCCAACACATCCCCCGGACGGCCGCTGTCTCGAATGGCCACCTCTGTCTGCCAACACATCCCCCGGACGGCCGCTGTCTCGAATGGCCACCTCTGTCTGCCAACACATCCCCCGGACGGCCGCTGTCTCGAATGGCCACCTCTGTCTGCCAACACATCCCCCGGACGGCCGCTGTCTCGAATGGCCACCTCTGTCTGCCAACACATCCCCCGGACGGCCGCTGTCTCGAATGGCCACCTCTGTCTGCCAACACATCCCCTGGACGGCCGCTGTCTCGAATGGCCACCTCTGTCTGCCAACACATCCCCCAGACGGGCCGCTGTCTCGAATGGCCACCTCTGTCTGCAACACCATCCCCCGGACGGCCGCTGTCTCGAATGGCCACCTCTGTCTGCCAACACATCCCCCGGACGGCCGCTGTCTCGAATGGCACCTCTGTCTGCCAACACATCCCCCGGACGGCCGCTGTCTCCAATGGCCACCTCTGTCTGCCAACACATCCCCGGACGGCCGCTGTCTCGAATGGCCACCTCTGTCTGCCAACACATCCCCCGGACGGCCGCTGTCCCGAATGGAGACCTCTGTCTGCCAACACATCCCCGGACGGCCGCTGTCTCGAATGGCCACCTCTGTCTGCCAACACATCCCCCGGACGGCCGCTGTCCCGAATGGAGACCTCTGTCTGCCAACACATCCCCCGGACGGCCGCTGTCCCGAATGGAGACCTCTGTCTGCCAACACATCCCCGGACGGCCGCTGTCTCGAATGGCCACAGGCTGCCTCGGTCCGCTGACCGCTGTATCAGTGATCAGTGTCAAATGCACGCACTGATCGAGGAACGACGGGCTGTATTACAAAACATCGACGGCAGAGTAGATATTAGCATACTTCCTATTGTTCGGACACGGTACACTCTGTACAGTTAGCTCCTAAGACAGCGCGCACTATAGCAATGACCAGCTCATCCAGCGACGACATCGAGATGCATCGAGAGTCGACCCATGACGCGGACTAAAGGTAGTGCTCCCGTACAAAAATTGAGCAAATTAGATCAATGTATATTTGTTAGTTAAGGGCTGTTATCACTCACTGATGTTATTGCATATATCGTCAACACGGGGGGAGAGCGGTAACAGAAGATCGTCGGGGGGGGGGGGGGGGTGACGTCAGTCTACCACTGACGTGCGGAAACTATCGGGGAGGACCTCAGTTTCTCAGCACAGCTGCTTCAGAATAAGCATGGCGAGTATAACACACGAGGAGGACAGCCCGTCAACGCCGCACGCAAACACAACCCACTCAGCGCCCGCCAGCGCGGTCCGCTGCCAAACACGCCATCGCAGCAGCGTCCTGCGGCGCCACCCGGCGGGGCGCTACCTCCGGCGGCGGGCGGCGACGCGGCGCGGCGCCACCTCCAGCTCCCAGACGCCCAGCCACATCCGCACCAGCTGGCAGCCGAGGCAGCCCGGCCGGCAGGCCTGCACCGTCTCCGAGGGCCGGGCGGCCGGCGCCACTGGCGTCGCTGTCGCCGGCAGCGAGCGGGCGCGACAGCGGGCGGTGGCCGCCGGTGGGCCGCGCACCCCCGCACTGTGGCGGCGTCCTGACAGCCCTGCCCACTGGCGGAGCACCAGCGGGTCGGCCACCCCTGCACTCAGCCGGCGGGAAGATGCCTCCGTCGGCAGCATGTAGCCGGGCGTGCCGTCCGGCCTCCCCCGCCGCCGGCCCGATGGACTCGCCCCGGCGGCGGCCATGGCGTCCGTTCGCCGCAGCAGCTGCTCCAGGCTCGCCGTCGGCCAACACGCTGTACGCCGCAACCGCGCCAGCAGCTGTCGTAAATCCGCAACGTGCGCTACTTTTGTCGCGCAGACTGCCGTGGCGCGTCGGCGGCGGTGGCGGCGCGCGACGCTTCGAACACCTTCTTCCTGGACGCGACCATTCCGGAGAGAGGGGAGGACAGACGACCGCCCTCCCCTCCCGCCGCTAAAAAAGTGGACATGCCAGAGAGACGTGGGCAGCTGGGCGACCTCATCAGCTCTGCAACAAGAACGCAAAAACCTCTGTCTGACCACGCACAAGTCACCGCGGCACCACGGGCAGCACCAAGCCGCATACAATACCGGCAACAGCACAGCGACGGATTTCCTCAAGGCAGGGCCAGCAAGGGTGACGTTCATGGTAAATCATCGCGCGATATATTTCAGTGCAAGACTGCTTCGCCCAGAGAGAGCCAAAGTGGAGCTACAAACGCGATCACAGAGCACAGACACTCCAGTCACGAGCAGACGGGTCCCCGCGATCACAGAGCACAGACACTCCAGTCACGAGCAGACGGGTCCCCGCGACCACAGAGCACAGACACTCCAGTCACGAGCAGACGGGTCCCGCGATCACACAGCACAGACACTCCAGTCACGAGCAGACGGGTCCCCGCAATCACAGAGCAGACACTCCAGTCACGAGCAGACGGCATCCCTAGGATGTCGTCATCGACGAGTCCGCCGCGAGCAGCGCGCGGCGCCGGCCGAGGGGGTGGAGGCGTCAGCGGCCGCACAGCCCTGACCTTTGATCCTGGCCGAGGTCAGGCTGGCGCCTCGCCGCAACCGCGGCCGCTCCTCGGCATCCGACGAGCCGCCGCTGCCGGCTGGCGCCTGCTGCGACCCTGGCGCACAGGTCAACGCAGGTCAGCACAGATCAGCCGACATCAGGGCAGGTCAGCACAGATCAGCCGACATAAGGACAGGTCGGCACCTGCCACTATGTTGGTAAGGGTCGTCACCGCAGGTCACCACAGATAAGCCGGAGTCCACAAAGGTCTAACGAGGTGAGCGTGTTACCGAAGGTCACCACGGATCATCCTAGGCAGCACAGGTCGGTTCCGGTCCGCGCAGGTCCACTTAGGTCGGTGCAGGTCAACACGTGGCAGCATATCTCACGAAAGGTCATGGCAGGTCAGTCGGCGTTAGCGCGGGCCTGACCATATCACTTTGGTCACCAGGGCCAATCCAGTCATCAGAGGCCAGCACATGTCACCATAATCAGGTGAAATTGAGGCAACCATCCAAAGGTCAAGGTCAGTAAAAGCCAGCGAAAATCAGCGCAAGCACCTGCAAGCTACAGAGGCGCACAACGCGACAGATTCCCTTAAGGAAACACACGCCAGTGAACGTGCCTAAACATGCACAAAGGCCAATCAGCACCGGATAAAACCAAACTGGGTCATACCAAGGTCATGCGGGTACAAACAAGCCCGACAACGGCTGAATTCGACAGTGTTCAGGACAAAGGGCGACGGTATGTCCACTGCTGAAGCGATGCACAACATCCAGCACTAGGACAACCCGGTCTGGGCGCGTGCTTCTCAGACGCTCCATCTCAACAGACTGTGACGCCCCATCCCAGCAGACTGACGCTCCATCCCAGCAGACTGACGCTCCATCCCAGCAGACTGACGCTCCATCCCAGCAGACTGACGCTCCATCCCAACAGACTGTGACGCCCCATCCCAGCAGACTGACGCTCCATCTCTTCACCTCTCGCGTATCCCGACGACAATCCAACGTGTAGCAACACTGCTGGAGCTCCCCATGCAGCCGGCTCGACAAACGGACACGACGATGGCTCAGCCCGCCTACGCGCACAACCACACGGCATGCACCAGAAACAACGGCATCCGATCCAAGGCAACGGCGGATGCACCTTCTTCCACAGGACACTGCACGACCTACCCAACGCATGCGCTTCGACAATGGGCTCGAGCTGCCTTGCCCGACTCTCGCCAGCGGGAGCCACACGGACCGACGGCGGCCGGCCGGTGAGCTGCATTCGTAGCACGCGGCCACCGCCCCGGCGTCGCGCTGTCGGCTCGGGTAGCATGCTCCTCCTGCCGTCGCCACACCAGCCCCATGCCCCACCCGTCCTAGCCCGTCCATTGCACCATCCTAGCCCTCTCCCGCACGCCACGGCGTTTGCAACGCGCCTCCCAACCCTTCTCCCCACCACCACCGGTGCCCTTCCCCTTCCCCACCGCAGACACCGAGGCCCTCCCGCCCCCAGCTCCTCTCCCCGCGCCCCGCGCACCGCCCAGCGGCCGCGGCGCCTGTACCGTACCTTCGCACTTGGAGGCGGTCAGGATAATGTGCTCGAGGCGGTCGCGCAGTGAGCTGACTTCGTCGGCGCGCAGCTGGCGCTCAGCGCGCAGGTACGTGGACAGCTGGCGGCAGAGCGCCGACAGCTCGGCCTCGCGCTGCCGGCAGCAGGCCAGCGCTCGTCAGGCGGTCGGTCGGCCGTCACAGCGCACGTCGCTGGTTAGAGCGGGTGGCGGCCGCGTCACCGCGCGTCCGATGGCGTCACAGTGACGTCGGCCCACGGGCCGCCGGACGCGCGGTGACGTCAGCGCGGGTGTCGTTATTGCACGTCACGTCTGTCGCGTCGGCGCGCTCAGTGACGTCACACGTCACGTGCGGCGTCACCACAAGCGCGCTGACGTCAGCGAATGCTACCGCCGAAAGTATAATTCGGCGGCTTTGTCAGCTGTTTTTTGTTTTTGTTTTTTGGTGAAGTCACGGTCTCCGGCAGGAAACTAGTGAGCGAAACCCGCGCCTGCCGCCAGCATGGCTCCCGCAGCAAGCGATCAGCAGAGCGCGTTCTGTTTCTCCCCCAGTCAGAACCCGCGGAGAAGCTCGTCGACAGAACGTAACTGGCCTGAAGCTCAGACGGAGCGTAACCGGCCAGAAGCTCAGACAGAACGTAACCGGCCAGAAGCTCAGACAGCACGTAACCGGCCTGAAGCGTGACAGAACGAGGGCCCCCCCGTCCGTGGCCGTGATCGCTGGCCGTCTGCAGCCACTGTCAGCAGACGCCGCCGGCGCGAGCCAATAGCGTCCCAGCTCGTCGTCTCGCCGCCGAGGGCGTCACTCAGACAGCGTTCCCCCGAGGGCGGGGCGGTGCGAGGCGGTGGGCCGGCATGACACGTGACGGCTGCCAGGGGGAGCCCCCCCTCCCAGGCTGCACAGACGGCATGTAGACGGGGGAACGCTGTCACACAAGCACAGTCCAAGCAGCGCAGCCGCCTGGCGACAGGCGCCAAGCGCACAGGCGGCGTCGCCTAGCAGCGGGGACTCGAGCTCGGCGTCGGCAGCAATTCAAGCCAGCCTCGGCGGAGGCGTGTGAGGAAGATCTCCAACTTCGGCCGCCTAGCGGCGCCGTGACATAGCCCGCAACGGCACCGACGGCACCGACGCGGCACAATGTGCTGCCGCCTCGTGGCCGTGCGTGCTATTGGTCTCGGCACGTCAGCATTGTCAGAAAGCGGCGCCGACCCTGGTCACAGCAAGCAGTCGCGGGAAGCCGACTCACCTCGCGCCGAGACAGCCGCCTCACTTACCGTCGGCTTTCTTCTCACGCCGGTGCTTCCACTCCAGATCTGGCCGGTGCCCCTGCCCCACCTGACCAGATCTGGCCGGTGCCCCTGCCCCATCTGACCAGATCTGGCCGGTGCCCCTGCCCCATCTGACCAGATCCGGCCGGTGCCCCTGCCCCATCTGACCAGATCTGGCCGGTGCCCCTGCCCCATCTGACCAGATCTGGCCAGTACGTTGTGTTTCCCGATCCCTCAGACGGGGGGCCACCGCCTTGATCCAAACCGCCTGTTGTGTGGCCTTGCATGTAATTGCTTGCACAATATCCCCATCCGGGAAGCTGCGACAATTGCCGCACCATTACTTCTCCATTCGGCCCCCTTTCTGTGTGGTCTTCAGCGCATTTTGTGGTTACACAGACTCACACAGCTAAGCGGAGTCCAAACACAGCCCACTCTGCCGTCAGCGTACATACTTGCGTGCGTCAGCTTGGGTCAATCCAGCACTTCCGGACGGTTACCGCCCATTACACTGTAATTTCTGCTGTGGTCTAGCCTCTCCCTCCGCCTCAAACAGCGGTATAAGCCCCCACAAGCCCCCCACCCGCCTTCTCGCGCACCCAGCATCCACGTCATGCCAATGAATCCTACCTTCTGCCGCGCTCGTCCCCTCGTACCCGTACCCGTACCCGTACCTGAGAACCCGCACCATTTCACCGCGGTCTCTCACCGCCGCGCGGTGCACCCCACCCTCTCCACTCCTCCCCCTAGTGTGCCCTACCTCTAGCGAGCCGCTCCTCCGCTGCGCAGCCTTACCTTCTGCGTCGTCTCCAGCTCCTGGTGCAGACTCTGCGCAGTCCTACCTTCTGCGTCGTCTCCAGCTTCTGATGCAGACGCTGCGCATTCCTACCTTCTGCGTCGTCTCCAGCTCCTGGTGCAGACGCTGCGCCTCTTCGCGCGAGTGCGCCAACTGGTTCTCGGCCAGCGCCAGCTGCTGGCCGGCCGAGTGTTGGTCGCCGTCGGCAAGCTCCGAAATGTTGGCCGACAGCTGCGCCCGCAGCTGCTTGTTCCTGGGGATGGAGGTGTGTGGCTCGTGTAGTAGGACAGTTGCCACCTGCGAGGTAAAACGTGTAGCAGAACGGCGTGATATGCAGCAGAACGTGTCGCCACACAGCGCGCCGTGGGGGCGATGCGGGAAACTCCTGTACCGTCATACCTGACTGATAAACGGCGCCACTTTGCCGGACGGAGGCTCAAACCGCCGCACGCCACGCCGCCCACACGACCACGATCACCGCCACACTCCACTCCATTCCACTCCACACTCCACACTCGGCGCTCTGGTCACCAGCTTCCGCGCCTGCCCCAGCAGCGGCGGCCGCCGTCAGAGGCGAGGCCAAGCCGCGCACCAGCGTCAGCGGCGGCCGTCGAGCTGGCCGCCACTCACCTGGCGTCCAGCTGGAAGACGCGCTGGTTGGCTTGCTGCAGGCTGCGGTGCTGCGCGTCCACCTTCTCCTCCAGCGATGCCGTCTCAAGGCACTTGATGCTGTACTTCTCACTCAGGCTGAGAATCTCGCCCTTGATATCGCCCATCTCGGCTCTGCGCGAGCACGAGCAGGCGGTGAGCGTCCGGGTCCGCGAGGGCGACATGAGCACGGGCAGGCGGTGAGCGTCCGGGTCCGCGAGGGCGACATGGGCACGGGCAGGCGGTGAGCGTCCGGATCCGCGAGGGCGACATGAGCACGGGCAGGCGGTGAGCGTCCGGATCCGCGAGGGCGACATGAGCACGGGCAGGCGGTGAGCGTCCGAGTCCGCGAGGGCGACATGGGCACGGGCAGGCGGTGAGCGTCCGGGTCCGCGAGGGCGACATGAGCACGGGCAGGCGGTGAGCGTCCGAGTCCGCGAGGGCGACATGGGCACGGGCAGGCGGTGAGCGTCCGGGTCCGCGAGGGCGACATGAGCACGGGCAGGCGGTGAGCGTCCGAGTCCGCGAGGGCGACATGGGCACGGGCAGGCGGTGAGCGTCCGAGTCCGCGAGGGCGACATGGGCACGGGCAGGCGGTAAGCGTCGGGGTCCGCGAGGACGACATCAAGGCACGAGCAGAGCCATCCGTCAGCACCGGCGTCGTCATCACTGGTAGTGTACGTCAAGACTAGAAGGCACCACATCCTCCTCCTCGCATCAGTCACCAAGTGACCAGACAGTGACAGCGTGGTGACAGTGACAGTGACGTTGACAACGGAGACCGGCTGAGCTCTATAGCGGCCCTTCACCCCTTCCGCACGCTCCGCGGCTCCCCGGCGCACTCACACGTGCTCCTTCTGCAGCTTGCCGATGTCGAAGCCGGGCTGCATCTTCTTGATGAACTCGTCCTTGAACTTGCAGATCTCTCGCTGCACCTCCGTCTCGTGGGCCTTGCGAAGGGCGTCCAGGGCGGCCAGCGTAGCCTGCGACGTCCAACAGGGGTCAATCAAGGGTGTATGCGGGATCAGAGCAGGGACAAGAGCTGTCCCCAGAGTTCAGTGTGCTGCGCCATTAGCCAGGAGCAGGTTCAGAGAGCAGCGTCGGCCTTTGAAACCAGGGGGGGGGGCGCCATTTTCACCTGTGGGGGAAGGAGGGAAAATCGGGAGATCACTGTTGACTGTAAGTCGTCGGGGGGGAGGGGGGATATCACCGTTGGCTGTGGGTCGTCAGGGTTTATGCGTTGCAGTCTGTTGCTCTGTCGTGTCACCAGCCGTTCGTGTGGCTCGAGGGGGTCAGGTCAGGTCAGGTCAGGTCAGGTCAGGTCAGGTCAGGGCGGTCAGGTCAGCAGAATCAGTCTGATGATGCTGAAGACGACCACTTTTGCCTGCGCAGCCAGCCACGAGTGCATTCAGATGCCTCTGACGACAATGTTAGGCCCATCACTCCATCAGGACCTCCAGCACATCCGATGTTCTAACACGAACGCTACTTCGCGCTCCTGCACCCGGCGGCCTACTCGGCCGGCCGCACCACCCCTCCCCTACTCCTCGGGCGCCACTCACCTGGGTCTCCTCGGCCAGCGCCTGCTGCTTCTCCGCCTCCAGCGAGTGCAGCTCGCGGCGGTGTTTCTCCTCCAGTTCGGCGATGATGCGCCGGTGCGAGTTCTCCATGGCCACCAGGCCCTTCTCACACAGCGCCTGGCAACACGAGGCGCGCCTCAGCCCGAGCGCCGGCTGGCCATCACAACAGCCGGTGTGGCGGCGTGCACGCCCGATGGCCACTGCTGTGCTGGCAGAACAGGCAAACGTGCACGGAGGCCGGCTACCAAGCCCTACCGTCTGAAGCAATTATGTTGACCTGTTTGTTTCTGTCGATGCGTTGAGGCGCTACACAGTACAAAAGTGTCCTTGGAGCATTCTTTAGGGGACAGTGACTGAGACCATGGCGTGCACTGTTTAGGGGACAGCGCCTGAGACAATGGCGTGCACTGTTTGGAGGACAGCGCCTGAGACAATGGCGTGCACTGCTTGGAGGACAGCACCTGAGACAATGGCGTGCACTGCTTGGAGGACAGCGCCTGATACAATGGCGTGCACTGTTTAGGGGACAGCGCCTGAGACAATGGCGTGCACTGTTTAGGGGACAGCACCTGAGACAATGGCGTGCACTGTTTAGGGGACAGCGCCTGAGACAATGGCGTGCCAATGGATTCCATGCTGAGCGCGGCAAGTCGCAGAACTGTGAGCTCAAATCCAACCCGGCAAAATAATTCCCAATGGAACAGCCTTCCGAAACCAACGGACTGAATACATCTACCCCACATAAGCAGGCTCACTCGAACGAAGCGGCGGCAGACTTGGCCGGCGGCCGCCGCGCGCCCGCCACTCACCCTCAGCTGCTCGATCTCGGCCTGGTAGCGGCGTCGGATGCTCTCCTCGGCCAGCGCGTCCTCCTCGGGCCGGCCGGTAGTCTCGCCCGCCGACGTCTCGTACTGGTCGCGCAGAGCTGAGATCTGTGCCTCGTACTCGGCCTCGAGACTCTCGAGGCGGCGGCGCAGCAGGCGTACCTCGCTGGCCAGCGCCTCCTTCTCGCGCTCGTACGTGGACGTCTGTCGGCGGCGGCACCACCCAGCCGGTGAAGCGCGCTCAGTCGGCCGCCGCGGCAGCACCGCCCGTCCGTGCAGACCGACGGCCACCGATCGGGAAATAACCGCACGCCAAAACAATAGTCGGGTCGCCATTTTTCGATTTTTTTAGATTTTCGATTCGGTCTAAACGTTTGTTTCGCGATTCCGAAATCTTCCCGATTTCTCACGACAGCTCACGCCTGACGGACACATTGGCCTGGGAAGGCGTCACGCGGCGCTCCACCCATGAACATTGGCCTGGGAAGGCGACACGCGGCGCTCCACCCATGAACATTGGCCTGGGAAGGCGACACGCGGCGCTCCACCCATGAACATTGGCCTGGGAAGGCGACACGCGGCGCTCCACCCATGAACATTGGCCTGGGAGGGCGACACGCGGCGCTCCACCCATGAACATTGGCCTGGGAAGGCGACACGCGGCGCTCCACCCATGAACATTGGCCTGGGAAGGCGACACGCGGCGCTCCACCCATGAACATTGGCCTGGGAGGGCGACACGCGGCGCTCCACCCATGAACATTGGCCTGGGAAGGCGACACGCGGCGCTCCACCCATGAACATTGGCCTGGGAAGGCGACACGCGGCGCTCCACCCATGAACATTGGCCTGGGAGGGCGACACGCGGCGCTCCACCCATGAACATTGGCCTGGGAAGGCGACACGCGGCGCTCCACAAATGAACATTGGCCTGGGAAGGCGACACGCGGCGCTCCACCCATGAACATTGGCCTGGGAAGGCGACACGCGGCGCTCCACCCATGAACATTGGCCTGGGAGGGCGACACGCGGCGCTCCACCCATGAACATTGGCCTGGGAGGGCGACACGCGGCGCTCCACCCATGAACATTGGCCTGGGAAGGCGACACGCGGCGCTCCAGCCATGAACATTGGCCTGGGAAGGCGACACGCGGCGCTCCACCCATGAACATTGGCCTGGGAAGGCGACACGCGGCGCTCCACCCATGAACATTGGCACATTGGCCTGGGAAGGCGACACGCGGCGCTCCACCCATGAACATTGGCCTGGGAGGGCGACACGCGGCGCTCCACCCATGAACATTGGCCTGGGAAGGCGACACGCGGCGCTCCACCCATGAACATTGGCCTGGGAAGGCGACACGCGGCGCTCCACCCATGAACATTGGCCTGGGAGGGCGACACGCGGCGCTCCACCCATGAACATTGGCCTGGGAAGGCGACACGCGGCGCTCCACCCATGAGCACCCAGACACGGTCAGCTGCTGTCCGATTCACGTGCGCAACAAACCACACCGTCGCACAGCCGAGCCAGCGCCAGCACAGCCTGCCGGCGGCCGGCCAACGCTCAGTGTCGTCACGCACCACTTTGTTAACCTCTGACGTCATCTCACGGCGCAGCTGCTCCAGCTCCGCGTCCTGCACCTTCCTCAGAGCCTTCAGCTCCGACGTATGTTCCGTGGACAGGCTGCACAGACGAGGGGGAAGGGGGGAGGGGTCAGGCACCTGATCACGACAGGGCGGAGCTGCTGGCGCCGTCCGTCCGCGCGTGGTGACAGCACGCAACCACAGCTACTATCACGGTGACGTCACACAGCTACCGCGACGCGCGGCGTGGTTGGTCGATTAGGAAACAACACCACACGATTAGGAAAATCCACGATTAGGAAACAACACTACAAATACCACCGTCTGTCGTCAGCGTTCACAGCAGCACGCGTGATGAGTCGTACCGCAAAAGTCACAGACAACCGCACACCACGCAGCGATGTGACGGCCTGGAGGTGACACACGACCCTCCCGCCAGCTAACGCCTTTCATCCCCAGCTTCCGCCAAGTCCCCCGCCCCCCAGTGACGTCCATCTGACTGCGCGATGCCGGCAAGCCCGCCCCTCTCGACCTTCCCCATCGGCAAGGCCCCTGCCCATCCCCACCTGCCGTCTCCCCCCTCCACAGACTGCCGTCGTTTGGACGCACAGCCCAGCGACGAATCAAGGCGGCCCCACAAAGCCCCAAATAACGCTCCGCTGCGCACCCCCGGCAGCACCATCGTCCCCTGCGGCACCAGCCACACCGCCCACAGCACCACCGTCACCACCAGACCCGTCACGGTCAGCACGCACGTGTCGATCCTGGTGCGCAGCTCCCCGCAGCGGTGGCAGGGCTCGGGGGCGGACCCGTCGGGCGCGGCGGCCGCCTGACACTTGGGTGACACCGGCTCCTGACGCTTGAGTGACACCAGCTCCTGACACACCACGCCCAGAGAGGCCGTCTGCGGCGGCACAGGCATCGGTCAGAGTTGCCGGCCAGCGGCGCTCGCGGCCGCGCGATCCCGGTCGGCGCGAGCACCCCGCGCTCACGCGCTCCGCAAGCGTCCAGGCTCTCCGCATCAGTCCGCGGCGAAACAGTTTTCAAGCCTCCCGCCAGTATACTGCGGCTGCATGCAAACATCTCGGCGCGCCACGAACCAATTTGCAGTATTCTCGGTGCTGTTCACCCACAATTACTGATAAGGCCTGGCATCAAACACGACGGCTCGTGCGCGCTCCTCCGCCACCAAACGCAGCCGCCTGCCCTCACCTGGATGTCACCGCTGTTGACCATGCCCGTGATATCGGAGACGCGGCGGCGCGCCTTGTCCACGCTGCGGGGCCGCACGCGCACCCGTCGCAAGCTCTCCACCTCCCGCTCCAGCGTCCGTATCTGGCAGTCGGCCATCTCTGGTGAGCTCGACCCGCCGGTGACATCCCGAGCGCATCTCTAACGCCGGCGCCCGGCAGCGCTCGCCAACTATGACGTCGCGCTGATTTCTCTGAGTCTCCGGTAAGTCGCAGACATTTGTGGCGTCCCTGAATTGACTTCCGGTCTTCCATAAGCGGCTGCAGATCCAAGTAAAAAACAACCAGACAACACCACCAACTGGCTGTCCGAGTCCATAGCCACCGAGGCGCGGGGCGAACCACTCGACATACACAAGTCTACTATCACCGCCCGTCCCGCAGACGTCAACACGCGCCCAGGCTCCGCCAACCACGCAACGGCACTCGACACAACCTCTCATACCCCGTGCGTCGCCAGGCAGCAGCACTCACCTGCTCGCGATGCTGGGCGCGCTCCTGCTGCAGCTGAGCCTCGCAGTCGGCGCGCACGGCCGCCACAGTCTGCTGCGTGCGCCGGCAAAACTCGTCCAGACTCTGGCCGGTCGGCATGGCGACGCCATAGTCGGAGAGCTCGGTGCGACACCGCTCCACCGCCGCCGCGTACAGGTGCTGACAACACAGCCGGATCATGGTACAGGTGTTGACAACACAGCCGGATGACGGTACAGGTGCTGACAACGCGGCCGGATGACGGTACAGGCGCTGACAACGCGGCCGGATCACGGTACAGATGCTGACAACACAGCCGGATCACGGTACAGGTGCTGACAACGCAGCCAGATCACGGCACAGGCGCTGACAACGCGGCCGGATCACGGTACAGATGCTGACAACACAGCCGGATCACGGTACAGGTGCTGACAACACAGCCGGATCACGGTACAGGCGACCAAATGGAAGAACAAGGGACCCGGCTCTCGAACGTGACCTCGTGCCGGAGGTTCCACCATGAATCAGACCCCGCACCAGTGCCAAACGCGTACACAGACAGTGAGTGAGTGATGCTTACGGGCGAGTCGACAACCGAGCTTATTTCGCACCCATACACACGCTGACAGGGGATATGCCGAGAACAACAAGGGCTGGCAGAGATAGGCCTGCCGTCCAAAAGGCACAACGGACTAAGTGCTACGCAAACCGATGGCCCTCAGGCCTTTTTGCCATTGGGCGGCAAGTCCGCATGGCGCAGAAGAAAACAAATGACTAATAGTGCGGCTTGGGTTCTAAAGCAGCCAGAATCACAAGGCTGCGGCACGATGTCTTGCGATATGGCTCTCCACTGCACAGCAGGCGGGGCTCAAAGAGGGCGCTGGCGGCCCCCGCCTGTGTCAGGTCAGGTCAGGTCAGGTCAGGTCAGGTGAGGCGATATCACCGATAGCCAGCTGACACACCCACCTGTTCAGATCTACTCACATACAACGCGACAAAACAGCCCGGCCCAGCTCGGCAACAGCACAGTGTGGTTCAACTTGAGTGAAGTCCCCAGACGCGCAGCTTGTCTGGAGTTGGGGCCCAGCCCACCCGACTGCTACACCTAGCTATCACATTGTTCCACAGCTATATATCTCGCCCGCGCCCACCTTAGTCAGCCTTCCGTTGCGCCTCATACCACCAACGCACCAGCAACAGAGAGGACATGCGTCAGCTGCACCACACGCGCTCACTATACCCGCCTCACAGCCATCTCCCCTACACCCGCACCAATATGTCGTTTATCCCCCATCAACAACTAGGTAACACCCCACTGACACTGAGAGCTCCACCTCATCATCACCTGGGTGACACCCCACCGACACTGAGAGCTCCACCTCATCACCGCCTGGGTGACACCCCACCGACACTGCGAGCTCCACCCCATCATCACCTGGGTGACATCCCACCGCCAGCCCGGCTCCACCCGGCCTCCAGTGTGCCTCTGACCTGCAGTTCGGCCTGGTCGGTGGCGTCGGCCGCCTCGCCGAAGAAGACGGCCAGCGCCGAGTCACGGTGAAGCGCAGCGTCCAGCGGCACCGAGCGCTCGGCCGGGTCCTCCTCGATAATCTCCAGCGGCACCTCCAGCGCCGGCTCGTCCTCGTCACTGATCACAGACAGGTAGCTGCCGGACCATCGGCCTCTGTCAGACAGGTAGCTGCCGGACCATCGGCCTCTGTCAGCGGCCAGCAGGCACAGCGATACTGTTTGGGCGCCTCAGATGCCCCGACAAGTAACTGCCGGAGCACCGGCCTCTGTCAGCGGCCAGCAGGCACAGCGATACTGCTGGGGCGCCTCGGATGCAGTCCTGATGGTAATGGAGGTAACGGGCGCTTCAGCCGCGCCGAAACAGCACCGCTGCCGGCATCTCTACAGCGCCCTCTCGGCCACACCAGCGCCTAGCAGCCAACGGCCGCCGCCAGGAATCGAGCCCGCGCCCCACAGGTGTCGCCACCGCCGCCACCACTCACCCGTCCACAATGGCCTTCTGCGCCACGACGTCGGCCAGCTCGGCGAGCAGCCGGTCCGACTCGTCGCCGGGCGGCGGCGGCGGTGCCGGCGCCGCGCGCAGCCGCGCCAGCGCCGCCTCGTACTGGCGACTCAGCGTCATCACCGCCTCTTCCATCTCGGCGCGCAGACTCTCCGTGGCCACCGTGTACCTGCCGATCAGGTCAGGTCGGGTCAAGTCAGGTCACGTGCGGTCAGGTCACGTCTGGTTCGGGTAGGGCAGGGCAGAACAAGCATCGGGGTATTTAGTGTGATATCATGGTCATATAATATGTAGCATAATATTATCTCATAAAATGTTGTGCACACATATATATGCATTTTAACATGGGGTTAGTGATATCGGATCTGTCGTGCCAATCCAGCTACAGGGCCGGACGGTGCCATCATGCTAAGTTGGATCCGGTCACGTTACGTGACCATAGGCCAGGAAAATACTGTAAAAAATATTAATACCGAAAATATTAACAGAGAGGTAAGGAATGGAGACGAGCTTCAACCAAAACACGAAATCGTCAGTAAGCGACGCAATGCGTGAAACACGACACCCGGTAACTGGGCGGTAACTGGGCGGTAACTGGGCGGTAACTGGGCGTAACTGGGCGTACCAGGGCGTCACTGGGCGCACCAGATCGCCATGGTCCCACTCTGGAATCCATTGTTGGCGTGCAACGTGTCGCCTCGGCCCTGGCCCAGGCTCCAGCCTCGGCCCGGTCCCGGCATCCCCCCTGGCCCTGGCCCTGGCCCTGGCCCTGGCCCTGGCCCTGGCCCCTGCCCTGGCCCTGGACCCTGCCCTGGCCCTGGCCCAGGCCTCAGTCTCGGCCCTGTCCCGGCATTGCCCACCCCGTGTCTCACCTGCGCTCAGCCGCCTCCTGCTGCGCCTGCACCAGGAAGAAGCAGTGCTGCCGGTCCACCTCAAGATCACGCTCGTACAGCTCCACAAACTTGAGCATCATGTGCGACATCTCGGCCTGGACCAGCTCCTGTGGGGCGGCAGTGCCGGCCGTAAGCGGTCCGGAGCGCAGCTACTGGCCAGGTCCGCCTGCGAGGAGCGGACCTCCCCTCCTCCCCTCCCCTCCACGCCGGAGTGGTCATGAAATGTTGTTGGCAAAGTCATCAAGCAACATCACTTTGACGACAAATCAACCGCACACCGTACGATGAGCGGATCGATTTCCAGCCCCCACCCCTTCCAGCAGTACCGATCGGCTTGCCCAACGGTGCGGGGTCAAGCCTTCCAATACAGACGACTCGAAATCCGAGGAGACCAAGGACCTCGCCACCCCCTCCCTCTCACTACGAGCCTCTAAAACAGGCCCCCACGAGCAGCGCCCCCCCCCCCCCCCGCGTGCGTACCTCGCTGATGCTGTGCTGCGCCATGTTCCAGGCGTCGCGAACCTTCACCTCCTCCAGCAGCTGGTCGTCGCCGGCCGGCGGCGGGCAGCTCAGCACAGTCTCGGCGGCCAGCGTCTCGGCCAGACGCTGCAGCTTGTCCGCCTTGAAGGCCGCCACCGCCGCCGTCACCTGACCAAGGGCAGGTCAGGCGGGTTAGGCGGTCGCCGCCGACCTCGCACGGGAGCGACAGCGAGGGGAAGGCAGGGAGGGCTGCCGTTAGTGTACCCGGGGAGGGGAAGTGATGATGATTGGGGTTTTAGGGCGCGTCGACTTCTAGGGTCATTTTGCGCCCATAACAGCTAAGTGTTTACCGTGGCGTATAAATGACTGCGAATCCTACGCTTCTCAAAAATGAAAACAGCTGTCCGGTGCCAAGCATGCGAGAATCGTCACCAATAAGGTCTGAAAAGGTAAGACCTGACGCATCTCGTCCGAAGTAAAGTGCCCGCTCTTCTCTGAGCTGTGGGCAGGAGTGAATAACGTGGCGAACCGTAAGTGGCGCACCACAGCGAGGACATTTAGGGCGTTCTTCACCGCACAAAAGGTAGCTATGTGTTGCGTGCGTGTGGCCAATTCGTAACCTGCTGAGGGTTACTTCTTCGTGTCTCAGCTTACGTGAGCTTGAAGACCATAGACCCAGTTGTGGCTTGATCATCTTTAACTTATTGTTTACAATGGCGTCCCAGCAGCGCTGCCATTTCGCCTTCACAAAGGTCGCGATTGCAGGGTAAAAGCACCTTGCCGGCAAGGGTAAAGAACGGGTGTAAGGTGCACGCGCTGCCCGTTTTGCGGCCGCGTCAGCACGCTCGTTACCTGCGATACCCACATGACTCGGTATCCAACATAAGACGACAGTTTTACCAGCAAGATCCAGCGCTGTCAGGCGAACCAAAATATCCTGTATAATGGGACAAGGTGGGTTATAGGTTGTCAGAGCCAACAGGCTGCTCAAAGAATCGGATAAGACCACGTGTGAGTTGCTCTCACCAACTTCGATGAAGCATAGGGCTTTACTGATTGCAACGAGCTCGGACGTGTAAACTGAGGCGTGTTTCGGTAAAGAAAAGGACCGGGTGGCTTGGTCATTCACAAATGCAGCACCAACACCTACCTCCGTCTTCGATCCATCAGTATATGTGGCTTGAAAACCTATGTACGACCCGATGTGCTCCAGAGCCTTCGATCTCAGGTCGCATGGGATCGCTCCCTGTTTGCTTGTGCATGAAAGGGATACATCCACTTTTGGTGAAATTAGCTCCCATGGAGGCACTAATACGGGACGCGACCTCAGCACACCACGCAACCTTATGTCGCTTTCCCGGAACAGCTTCTTCATGTGGACACCAAATGGAATAGCGGACAGCCTTCCGCCACTTTGGAACTTGCTTTCCACATGACGTGAAAAGATTGCTCGGTGAGTCGGATGGTTGGGAAATTGAGCCAGCTTGCAAAAGTACCGCATGCCAAGCATTTCCCTTCTCAGTGCCAACGCCGGTTCATTAACTTCCACGGTAAGGCTAGCAACTGGCGACGTCCTGAATGCCCCCGTCACAATGCGTAATGCGGTATGGTGCACGGTGTCTAATAAACGTTTGCAGGAACTCGGCGCAGGAAGGCAGGGAGGGCTGCCGTTAGCGTACCCGAGGAGGGGAACGGAGGGAGGGCTGCCGTCAGCGTACCCGGGGAGGGGAAGGGAGGGAGGGCTGCCGTTAGTGTACCCGGGGAGGGGAAGGGAGGGAGGGCTGCCGTTAGTGTACCCGGGGAGGGGAAGGCAGGGAGGGCTGCCGTCAGCGTACCCGGGGAGGGGAAGGCAGGGAGGGCTGCCGTTAGTGTACCCGGGGAGGGGAAGGCAGGGAGGGCTGCCGTCAGCGTACCCGGGGAGGGGAAGGCAGGGAGGGCTGCCGTTAGTGTACCCGGGGAGGGGAAGGCAGGGAGGGCTGCCGTCAGCGTACCCGGGGAGGGGAAGGCAGGGAGGGCTGCCGTTAGTGTACCCGGGGAGGGGAAGGCAGGGAGGGCTGCCGTTAGTGTACCCGGGGAGGGGAAGGCAGGGAGGGCTGCCGTTAGTGTACCCGGGGAGGGGAAGGCAGGGAGGGCTGCCGTTAGTGTACCCGGGGAGGGGAAGGCAGGGAGGGCTGCCGTCAGCGTACCCGGGGAGGGGAAGGCAGGGAGGGCTGCCGTTAGTGTACCCGGGGAGGGGAAGGCAGGGAGGGCTGCCGTCAGCGTACCCGGGGAGGGGAAGGCAGGGAGGGCTGCCGTTAGTGTACCCGGGGAGGGGAAGGCAGGGAGGGCTGCCGTTAGTGTACCCGGGGAGGGGAAGGCAGGGAGGGCTGCCGTTAGTGTACCCGGGGAGGGGAAGGCAGGGAGGGCTGCCGTTAGTGTACCCGGGGAGGGGAAGGCAGGGAGGGCTGCCGTCAGCGTACCCGGGGAGGGGAAGGCAGGGAGGGCTGCCGTTAGTGTACCCGGGGAGGGGAAGGCAGGGAGGGCTGCCGTCAGCGTACCCGGGGAGGGGAAGGCAGGGAGGGCTGCCGTTAGTGTACCCGGGGAGGGGAAGGCAGGGAGGGCTGCCGTTAGTGTACCCGGGGAGGGGAAGGCAGGGAGGGCTGCCGTTAGTGTACCCGGGGAGGGGAAGGCAGGGAGGGCTGCCGTTAGTGTACCCGGGGAGGGGAAGGCAGGGAGGGCTGCCGTTAGTGTACCCGGGGAGGGGAAGGCAGGGAGGGCTGCCGTTAGTGTACCCGGGGAGGGGAAGGCAGGGAGGGCTGCCGTTAGTGTACCCGGGGAGGGGAAGGGAGGGAGGGCTGCCGTTAGTGTACCCGGGGAGGGGAAGGCAGGGAGGGCTGCCGTTAGTGTACCCGGGGAGGGGAAGGCAGGGAGGGCTGCCGTTAGTGTACCCGGGGAGGGGAAGGCAGGGAGGGCTGCCGTTAGTGTACCCGGGGAGGGGAAGGCAGGGAGGGCTGCCGTTAGCGTACCCGGGGAGGGGAAGGCAAGGAGGGCTGCCGTTAGCGTACCCGGGGAGGAGAAGGGGAGGGAGGGCTGCCGTTAGTGTACCCGGGGAGGGGAAGGCAGGGAGGGCTGCCGTCAGCGTACCCGGGGAGGGGAAGGCAGGGAGGGCTGCCGTTAGTGTACCCGGGGAGGGGAAGGCAGGGAGGGCTGCCGTTAGTGTACCCGGGGAGGGGAAGGCAGGGAGGGCTGCCGTTAGTGTACCCGGGGAGGGGAAGGCAGGGAGGGCTGCCGTTAGTGTACCCGGGGAGGGGAAGGCAGGGAGGGCTGCCGTTAGTGTACCCGGGGAGGGGAAGGCAGGGAGGGCTGCCGTTAGTGTACCCGGGGAGGGGAAGGCAGGGAGGGCTGCCGTTAGTGTACCCGGGGAGGGGAAGGCAGGGAGGGCTGCCGTTAGTGTACCCGGGGAGGGGAAGGCAGGGAGGGCTGCCGTTAGTGTACCCGGGGAGGGGAAGGCAGGGAGGGCTGCCGTTAGTGTACCCGGGGAGGGGAAGGCAGGGAGGGCTGCCGTTAGTGTACCCGGGGAGGGGAAGGCAGGGAGGGCTGCCGTTAGTGTACCCGGGGAGGGGAAGGCAGGGAGGGCTGCCGTTAGCGTACCCGGGGAGGGGAAGGCAAGGAGGGCTGCCGTTAGGGTACCCGGGGAGGAGAAGGGGAGGGAGGGCTGCCGTTAGTGTACCCGGGGAGGGGAAGGCAGGGAGGGCTGCCGTCAGCGTACCCGGGGAGGGGAAGGCAGGGAGGGCTGCCGTTAGTGTACCCGGGGAGGGGAAGGCAGGGAGGGCTGCCGTTAGTGTACCCGGGGAGGGGAAGGCAGGGAGGGCTGCCGTTAGTGTACCCGGGGAGGGGAAGGCAGGGAGGGCTGACGTTAGTGTACCCAGCGAGGGGAAGGCAGGGAGGGCTGCCGTTAGTGTACCCGGGGAGGGGAAGGCAGGGAGGGCTGCCGTTAGTGTACCCGGGGAGGGGAAGGCAGGGAGGGCTGCCGTTAGTGTACCCGGCGAGGGGAAGGGAGGGAGGGCTGCCGTTAGTGTACCCGGGGAGGGGAAGGCAGGGAGGGCTGCCGTTAGCGTACCCGGGGAGGGGAAGGCAGGGAGGGCTGACGTTAGTGTACCCAGCGAGGGGAAGGCAGGGAGGGCTGCCGTTAGTGTACCCGGGGAGGGGAAGGCAGGGAGGGCTGCCGTTAGTGTACCCGGGGAGGGGAAGGCAGGGAGGGCTGCCGTTAGTGTACCCGGCGAGGGGAAGGGAGGGAGGGCTGCCGTTAGTGTACCCGGGGAGGGGAAGAGAGGGAGGGCTGCCGTTAGTGTACCCGGGGAGGGGAAGGCAGGGAGGGCTGCCGTTAGTGTACCCGGGGAGGGGAAGGCAGGGAGGGCTGCCGTTAGTGTACCCGGGGAGGGGAAGGCAGGGAGGGCTGCCGTTAGTGTACCCGGGGAGGGGAAGGCAGGGAGGGCTGCCGTCAGCGTACCCGGGGAGGGGAAGGCAGGGAGGGCTGCCGTTAGTGTACCCGGGGAGGGGAAGGCAGGGAGGGCTGCCGTTAGTGTACCCGGGGAGGGGAAGGCAGGGAGGGCTGCCGTTAGTGTACCCGGGGAGGGGAAGGCAGGGAGGGCTGCCGTCAGCGTACCCGGGGAGGGGAAGGCAGGGAGGGCTGCCGTTAGTGTACCCGGCGAGGGGAAGGGAGGGAGGGCTGCCGTTAGTGTACCCGGGGAGGGGAAGAGAGGGGAGGGCTGCCGTTAGTGTACCCGGGGAGGGGAAGAGAGGGAGGGCTGCCGTTAGTGTACCCGGGGAGGGGAAGGGAGGGAGGGCTGCCGTTAGTGTACCCGGGGAGGGGAAGGGAGGGAGGGCTGACGTTAGTGTACCCGGGGAGGGGAAGGGAGGGAGGGCTGCCGTTAGCGTACCCGGGGAGGAGAAGGGGAGGGAGGGCTGCCGTTAGTGTACCCGGGGAGGGGAAGAGAGGGAGGGCTGCCGTTAGTGTACCCGGGGAGGAGAAGGGGAGGGAGGGCTGCCGTTAGTGTACCCGGGGAGGGGAAGAGAGGGAGGGCTGACGTTAGTGTACCCGGGGAGGGGAAGGGAGGGAGGGCTGCCGTTAGAGTACCCGGGGAGGGGAAGAGAGGGAGGGCTGACATTAGCGTACCCGGGGAGGGGAAGGGAGGGAGGGCTGACATTAGCGTACCCGGGGAGGGGAAGGCAGGGAGGGCTGCCGTTAGCGTATCCTGACGTGTGAAGGAGTCGAAGCGCTGGCCGCCAGGGCAACCATCGGCACTCTGGTGGGTACCAGAGTACTCTAGGGGGTATTAGAGTCTCGGGGACGGGGGTGCTGGAGTGCACTGGGAAGTACGAGTACTGGAGCATGCCATGAGAATGCTGATGGCGTCGTCCGGCGGGTGAGGTGTCAGCCGGGTCACCTGACCCAGCATCACCTGATGCCGGAAGGGGGAGGGACATCAGCGCTACTGGTCACTCTCCGATCGGTTTCATCGCGATTGCTCAGCTGGCTAATCTCGTACATTTCACTTCGACCTTGCATGCCCCCAGTTCAGGCTCCAGATGTGGCGGGGGGTAACCCAGTTCAGTCACCAGGAGTACCCCTCGTTTCAGCAGGCTCCGCAGGTCCACTTTGTGACACTGGCCCTACCCTCATGTTTCAGCAGGTCCCCGTCCAGTCTCTGACACTGGTCTCAGGGTATGGTCCCGTCTCCCACACTGACCTCGGCCTCCTGCTTCAGCAGGCTCTGGTGCAGCTGCTGCAGCTGGCGGTCGCGCTGGACAGCCGGCGGGCGCCGGGCGGGCGTGGGCCGGGTCTGACGCGACCTCAGGCCGGCCGACGCCTCCTCCAGCGAGCCCAGCCGTTCGGCTAGGAGCGCCGAGAACGACTCCACCATCTGCCGGGTCACGTCAGGTCACGTCAGGTCACGTCGGAAGCAGCAGGCGGTCGTTAACCTGACACGTTGTCATCTAAGGCACGTCTGGGTCAACAAACGTTGACAAACCGAAATCACAGGCCTCACCGAAGACGAAGCGACGAAAGGAACAGTGGGCCATTCCTTTCCCTTTCACCGCGGGTAATTTTGCCCCAAACCAATGACCCCTACACCCGCGGCACCGTCCATGTTCCCTACGCCCCCCCCCCCCCCCCTCCTCTCCTAACACCGGGCCGCCTGCCGCTGCCGCAGTCACGCACCCCGCTCGAGACGTTCTCGACGGCCCCCGTCTGCAGGCGCTCCCGGAGCGTGCCGACCCTGCGGTGCGTCTCGAGCAGCTCGCGCAGCCGCAGCTGGCGCTCGAACGGCTCGGGCTCGGCCGCCGACCGCAGCGCCTCGGCCAGACACGCCAGCAGCACCGTCTGGTAAGCGAGCCGTTCGGCGGCCAGCCGGCGCCGCTCGGCCGCCGTCCAGCGGCGCGCCGCCTTCAGCTGCGCCTGCGCCTGCGCCTGCTCCTGGGCCTTGCGCAGCAGCAGCTGGTGGATGCGCTCGACCAGCACTCGCACGCCCTCCGGCGCCGACGGCCGCTGGCCGGCGAGCAGGTCCGAGGTCTCGGCCAGCCGTGCGCACACCGGCGACATCTGTCGGAGCGGAAGGGCAACTGCGGTCAGACACTTGCCGGGTGCCGACCGTCTTGATCTAGATGTGATCCCTGATCCCCCAGCCGCTGACGTGCTCCGCGCGTGCGCGTGACTCCCGCTGGACGAGGTACGCAGGCACAGGAGCGACGCCGCACTGACTAGCGTTGACACGGCCAGTCGTCTTCCAAAGCGAGGATGTGCACTTTGAATCCGTACGCCACTTACAGGTCGGTTTCACCAACAGCATGATGGTTATCATCACTACCATGACCACATCCATGATCCATGACACAATAATCAAGAAAACTACCCCCGATGAAGACCAAAACACGCCTCCATAACTATCTTCTGATGAGGTGACTTACTTGAACGTTGACACCTGTCTCTCAGGCGTAGCCAGCCCCACACTGTGCCACTGACCTGCGGCAGATCGGCTGCTCGCATCTCGTCGACGCACGAGTCCAGCTGTTCGCGCACCTGACGCACCAGACCCTCCAACTTGCGCAGCCGGAGCCTAACGTCGCCCCGCGCCGCGCGCTCCTCGGTCCGCTCCGGAGAGGCCGAGCGCTGCTCCGCAGAGCGCGCGCGCGCCTTGCGCGCCGGCGCCGGCGAACGGCGCGGCGGAGACGGCGACTTCTTGACGCGACCGGCCACGCGCTGCTCCAGCGCGTTCACGCGCATGATGACGCGCAACGAGTCAGATGATGTCACACCGTCTAGGCTCTTGCGGCGCAGCCGCGACGCCTTGGTCGACTCCTCAAAGCTGCGCGAACGGCGCGCACGGCCGTCGGCCGCCGCCGCTGCCGCTGGTGCTGCCTCCACCGCCGGCGCCGGCGCCGAGGCCTTCCCGGGCGAGCTCTCACGCTCAGAGCCGGCAGAGGGCGTCGCCGAGCCGGCGACGGGCGTGACCGGGGCGGCGACTGGCGTGGCCTGGGCGGCGACTGGCGCGGCCGGCGTGCGGAGGGCAGGCGTCGGCGCACCGCCGTCCCAGGCCGCCACGCGCGCTTCCAGCGCCGCCAGCTTGGCCTCCAACTCCAGCGGGATAGAGAACGACTCGCGCCCCTTCAGGGAGGAGGTGCGCCGCCGGTCGCGCGCGTCGCCCTTGGTCATCTTCTGCTTAAGCTGGCGCGCCTGGCGGCCAGACGGAGCAGGAGTGAGGGCGCGGAGGGAGTTCAAGCCCGGCAGGGCCTGAGAGCAGTGTCGATGGTGGGAACACACGTGCCGGCAGTATCTGCGTGCGGGTAACAACAAAGCGGACGTCGGCGGCTGCGGCCGGCGGGGGACGTGCGACGACAGCCACTGGAGAGCAGCGCTAACACACACTCACCCTCACCCACACCCCCACATCCCCCCCCCCCCCACACACGCACAGCCGACAGCCTGGGGCTGGAGCATTTGGAAACATCCGGACGGCTAAACAAAACCTTCATGCGGGCAGAATATCCATCAATAGACGATATAAAGACACAGCGTTGGAGGCAAGGACTCAACACTAACGGACTAGCCGCACTCCACAAATAGCGCGCACAAGCCGTTACCTTCCTCCGTTTCTGCGGCGTTGAGAAGACATTCCACAGATGAGATACAGCGAGAATGCCATTCTTCGAAGTGCAGGCAATGGATTCAGCACAAAAGGTTAAGTGTCAAAAGCCATTCAATCTCGCCTGATGCGCACCTTCAGGTTCACAGCTATCGCTCGGCGTGTGTTAGATGTCTCACAGCGCGCCCCAGTTTTAGCATCCACGTACATACGCCCAGCAAGCGAATAACATATCTCGATTCAGCAGCCTTTCCAGCGTTGCCTGGCGGCCGCGCCAGCACTGGCGCCTGGCCGCGTGCCGACCGGCGCCGCTCACCTGTTTCTCGGAGGCGGCCAGTTTGGCGGTGAGGTCCTGCAGCCGATCACGCATCAGGGCTGCCTCCGCCGCGTGCGTCTCGTCCTTGCCCTGCAACGGCAGACGGGTCAGTCGGGCAAAGACAGGTCAGGTTGGGGAGTCGGTCTCAGCCACGACAGACCCCGCTCGGGCGGGTGACATCAGCACAGGTCAGGTCACGACAGACCCCGCTCGGGCGGGTGACACCAGCACAGGTCAGGCCACGACAGACCCCGCCCGGGAGGGTGACACCAGTACAGGTCAGGTCACGATAGACCCTCTCGGGAGGGTGACACCAGTACAGGTCAGGTCACAACAGACCCCGCCCGGGAGGGTGACACCAGTACAGGTCAGGTCACGATAGACCCGCTCGGGAGGGTGACATCAGCACAGGTCAGGTCACAACAGACCCCGCTCGGGCGGGTGACACCAGCACAGGTCAGGTCACGATAGACCCGCTCGGGAGGGTGACATCAGCACAGGTCAGGTCACAACAGACCCGCTCGGGAGGGTGACATCAGCAAAGGTCAGGTCACGATAGACCCGCCCGGGAGGGTGACATCAGCACAGGTCAGGTCACAACAGACCCGCTCGGGAGGGTGACATCAGCACAGGTCAGGCCACGACAGACCCCGCCCGGGAGGATGACATCAGCACAGGTCAGGTGACGACAGACCACGCTCGGGGGGTGACATCAGCACAGGTCAGGTGACGACAGACCCCGCCCGGGAGGGTGACACCAGTACAGGTCAGGTCACGATAGACCCGCTCGGGAGGGTGACACCGGCACAGGTCAGGCCACGATAGACCCGCCCGGGAGGGTGACATCAGTACAGGTCAGGTCACAACAGACCTCGCTCGGGAGGGTGACACCAGCACAGGTCAGGTCACGATAGACCCGCTCGGGAGGGTGACATCAGCACAGGTCAGGTCAACACACATCTGACTCAGCACTCTGCTGAGTGCTATCACACGCTTAGACAGGTCCAACCAATCCACGTCGGTGGCGACGGGAGTGCGCTGAGACGGATTCACTCGAGGCACCTCCCCATTGCGATCAGTACAGATTTGTGGCGACTGGAGCTGAACCCTATACGCTGCGATCGCAGGCAAACCCGACACACCACTCGGCGAGCGACGCCGGGTGGGGCGATAGCGTGGAGCAGTAGTGAAGCTGCGCGTCTGGAGAACCAGAGTGAAGAGGCTTGATTGCCCGTAGTGCCCGCCCTTTCAGCCAGGGTGAAAGGCAAACAACGCCACAAAACCTCAGCAGCTGAGCGCGTCGTTAGGCCCCAGTGGCTGCCACAGCCGGCACTGACCTCCAGTTCGCTGGCCAGCCGGGCGGCCTCCAGCTCAGCCCGGTCCTGTTCCCCCTGCACCTCGCGCAGCTGCCGCTTCAGAGCACGGATCTCGCTGACAGCCTTCTCGAACCGCTCCAGCAGCGAGTCGTACTCCTCCCGCAATCTGCGCCGCACGGGCCAAACGGTGCCACAACCGAAACCGCGCCAGCGAGGATACGACACCAGCCAGCGAGGGCTCCGAGAACGAGCTCGGCAATCAGCAGACAGACGAAGCAGTATCACTCAGGCAGACGGCTGTAGTGGACATGCACATAAAGAGTATCACTCAGGCAGATGGCCGTAGTGGATATGCACATAAATAGTATCACTCAGGCAGATGGCTGTGGTGGATATGCACATTAAGAGTATCACTCAGGCAGACAACTGTAGTGAACATGCACATAAACAGTACCACTCAGGCAGACAACTGTAGTGAACATGCACATAAACAGTATCAATTAGGCAGACAGCTGTAGTGGGCATGCACATAAAGAAACATGCATGCATACACACATACATACACACAGATACATATACACATACACATACATACATACATATACAAAAGTATCACTCAGGCAGACAGCTGTAGTGGATATGCACATAAAGGAACATGCATGCATACATACATGCATACGCAATAGATGCATACAAACGTACATGCGCACATACACGCATGTACAAACATACACAGGCATAATACGGTCTGGCGCAGCGGATGGTAAAATGATATCACAGCCCACAGCGCAAGGCAAACCCCCTCCTAAACCGAGGCCAGCGGGCGCCGGGGCCCACAGGCGAGGGTCAGACGCCGGGCCGCCCTGGTCCAGCAGCGGGCGGCGGTCGGCCGGCACTGACCTCTGCCGGCTCATGCCGTCCGTGTCGGTCTCGATGCCGGCCGTCAAGTCGCTGAGCGAGGCGATCCTGGCGATCTGCAGCTGACGCCGTGACGAGAACCGCTCCCTGCGCGGCGGCGGCCGACGCTCAGGCGGGGCACGCGCCGCCCACACGGCGCACATAACGTCCGTCCACACACAGAGGGACGAGGCAGGACCAGGTCACAAGGAGGGTCAGGCCATGGAGGCCAAGGAGGGTCAGGTCATGCCACAAGAGTCAGATCACAGTCAGTCAGGTCGGAGGGCAGTCAGGTCAGGTCACCCAAAAAGGGTCTGATCGGAGTGTCCAAGCACGGCACGCGGAGGTGCTAGATCACACCATGGGGGGGGGGGGGAGGGGGCAAACGAGTCGCATATCGGTTCACCCGACGGCGCCTACAACGGGGCATAGAACACCACCCGTGCTAAGCCGTCCCAACACCAACCCCAGTCTACTCGCACCAATCTATGCACAGCGTGGCCGAACAAACGTACCGAGAGTCCGCCCCCGAAACCACACGCGTAGCGCACTCATCCCCGACTCTTGACACGTGCGTGTCCCAGACCTGATGCACAGGCCCTCCACTCGCCCAACCCTGGAGCCCCCCCCCCCCTCTCGCCGATTCTCCTGGCGCCCTGACCGGGGCCGCCTCGCCGCACCGCTGACCTGGAGGTGCCCAGAGCTGGACTGGCCGCCAGCGGCGGGTTGTTGCGCAACTCCCGCACACGCGCCGTCAGTGCCTCGTTCTCCTCGATCCCCTGCTGAAGTCGTGCGCGCACCGTCTCCAGCTCCTGGCGCACGCTCACCAGCTCCTGGCGCGCTTCGCGGGCCTCCCTGTCGTGGAATAGGAGGGCGAGGGTCACGCGGGTTGACTTCATACCCTCTCACCCTGTCGCCAGCCCCACCCCATACCCTCTCACCCTGTCGCCAGCCCCACCCCATACCCTCTCACCCTGTCGCCAGCCTAACCTCATACCCTCTCACCCTGTCGCCAGTCCCACCCCATACCCTCTCACCCTGTCGCGAGCCTCACCTCATACCCTCTCACCCTGTCGCCAGCCCCACCCCATACCCTCTCACCCTGTCGCCAGCCTAACCTCATACCCTCTCACCCTGTCGCCAGCCCCACCCCATACCCTCTCACTCTGTCGCGAGCCTCACCTCATACCCTCTCACCCTGTCGCCAGCCCCACCCCATACCCTCTCACTCTGTCGCGAGCCTCACCTCATACCCTCTCACCCTGTCGCCACCCCCACCCCATACCCTCTCACCCTGTCACCAGCCCAACCTCATACCTTCTACTGTGGGTGCGCGGGTACGTGTGCGTGTGTGTCGTTACCCTCGATGTCATCCCTAGCCTCACCGCCGTACCTGCGCTGCTTCTCCAGCTCCGAGGAGCGATCCTCCAGCAGAGAACGCAGCTCGTGCACTAGGTCCTTCAGCTTGTACACTTCAGACTTGTCCTGCTTGATGGCGTCCTTGGTGGTCTGCTGCGCCTCCAGCTCGTCACGCAGACGGCACATCTGGGGATGAGACAGGTCAGAGATGTCAGGGGTCAGACGGCCCGTAGACGGCAGGTCACAGAGGTCAGAGGTCCGGCGGCCCCGCAGATGGCAGGCCACGGACGTTAGAGGCCAGAAGGCCCCGCAGGTAGCATGGCTCCTCGCCGGGCGGCACCGAGGGTCAGGGATTCCAAAGGCTCCGCGGACGGCACGGCCGGCAGGCGCCAGGGGTCAGAGTGGCCAGAGGTCAGAGCGGTCGCAGGATATCAATAGACAAACGGCGGAAATCAGCATCAAAACAAACAGATGAGCTGTGCCTGGACAATTCATCGAACCTGGCTTACGGCGAGCTACCTCGCCTTGCACCAATAGTCGTTAATGCCTGTCATCATTGCTTTTGCCATGAGCCGGAAGGAAGGAAGAAAGAGGGAACAGAGAGAACAGAGAGAAGAGAGAGAATGGAGAGAAGAGAGAAAGAGAAAAAGGGAAACAGAGAAAGGGAAAGAGAGAAAGAGATAATGCGCGAGAGAGAGAGAGAGAGAGGGAGAGAGGAGAGGGACAGGGAGAGAGAGAGGAAGGGAGGGAGGAAGAGAGAGGCAGGGGATGACGGGAGGGGGAGGGGGCGGCGTCAGGGATCGGGCACGACCGTCATCCGCCGCCGGACTGCAGCCGAGCGTTACGCGGCAGCGGGAGGCGATTATTCCACGGTGACCAGTTACAGGACATTGACCCGGACGCATTTCTCGTTCTCCCGCTGCCTGGCTCTGCCGCTGCCGCTCCATCGGCGCCATTCAGACGGCACCCGGCCGGCAGAGACGGCTGACGGCGGCGATCAGGGGCCGCGCTCCGAGCGGCGCGCGCCCCCGCCGGCGCCGGCGCCGCGCCCTACTAAACGGCCCGTGCACCGCCGGTCTGCCGGCGGCGATCAGGGGCCGCGCTCCGAGCGGCGCGCGCCGGCGCCGGCGCCGCGCCCTACTAAACGGCCAGCGCGCCGCCAGTTTTCCACAGCCACAGCCGTCCCCCGTGCGAGCGGCCTCCCCTGAGCGCCAACACAGCGTACGAGCACGGTTGTGCCGGCCCGTAGACGGCGCACGGCGCAGCGTACGAGCACGGTTGTGCCGCCGGTGGAGGCGCGTGTCCGACGCGGTGCCGGTCGCCCAGCGACCGCCAATGACCGCCGGTGACCGCCGGTGACTGGTGATCAGTGACAAGCTGACCTCTGTCTGGCGAGCGGCGGCATCCTCCCTGAGCTGGCGCACCTCCTGCTGGCGCGAGCTCTGCGCCGCCTCCACTTGGTCCGCCAGCGAGCGCATCTGCGCCTGAGGAACAGGGGCCGGGGCAAGGCGTTACCCCCCTGTGAATGGGGCGGCGGCCTCCAGACGGGGACAGACTGCCGGGCGGACCACCGGCTCCAAACGGTGACAGACCAGCGGGCGGACCACCGGCTCCGAACGGGGACAGGCCATCGATCGCTGGCCCCGACGACCCATTGTGAGTGAGGTATCTTACTCGAATAAACTCGGAACAAAGACCCGGTGAACTGCCGGCAACAGCATAACTGACAATCCGCGCCAACAGCGTAACGTAGCGTGACTGTCAACAGGGCGAGACTGATTGGACGCTGGCTCTGGGTGGCCTTTTCTACCGGACGGAAACCACTGACGAAAGTCTAACAGCCACAGACACAAACCTCAGCTAGCCAACAGCCGCCCACGGCAGCACCTACAGCGTCCAAACTCGGTCGTCCCTCCCCTCCCCCCTCCCAATACATCGCACGGCGCATCAAACGGACCGCCATCAGCGCCACCATGCGTAACCGGCGGCCGCGCTACTCAACCGCACGCCGGGAGCGGAGCACCCGAGCGCGGCAAATCAACGGCGCACGCAGCGGGGCACCGGGGCACGACAAATCACCGACAACGGCAGCGGAGCGCCCAAGAACGACAGATCAACACCGCTCTCACCTCCGCCTGCCTGAGCTGCACGGTGAGCTGGTGGACAGTGCGATCGGTCTCAGCGTGCGCCTCGTGCGCCTCCAGCAGCTCCTGCAGCCGGTGCTCGGTCTCGGCCAGCTTCTGCTCCCAGTCGGCGTGGTCCTTCAGGTACCTGGACGCGCGCACGCGGCGGCTCCGTGGCGTCAGAGGCGCGGCCGGTGCCGCGGCAAGCTAAGCCGCGCAGGACGGACGGGGCGCGCTACCGTTCCGCGGCGAGCACAGAGGCACGCCGCCTTCCTCGCCACACCAGCGAACAATGGCAACACACCGCAACAGACAATAGACACCTCAAGTAGTACCAGCAGCACGCGGAACTCCACAACTAGCCGATGAGAGCAGCTTGTACGTCAGTGGCCGACAGGGCTTCTGCACCGCCGCAGCACAGAGCCATGACTCCATGGCTCATATGGGAGCCATGAAGTCATGAGTCACAGGGGAGCCACGAAGACAGAGTTTTCTCCACCGCCTCCCGCCGAGACCATCGTAACACCACGATCGTACCTTTCCTCGAGCTTCTCATAATGCCGCCGCCACTGCTCGTCGTCGGCGTGGCCCTCCTTGGCCGCCTGCACTTCCTCGTACTGGTCCAGCAGATCGTGGTACCTGATGAGCGCGCCAGAATGTCAACTGAAGCAGCAGCTGTTCTCCGCTGGGGCCGACTTATTCATGCCCTTGAAAATGTAAACGGACCCTAAAATGATGGCGAATAGCAGGGGCCGCATAGATTAGGAGTGTCGGGGCGCGGAGCACCGAGTAATCGTCAGAATGATGAGAAAAAACTTTGACCTGTCTCATTCCACGGCCATATTTGATAGCCCTCTCGGTCGGCGACAGGCGTCCCGACACGCAGGGTTTATATATAGAGTTCCAAAAGCTGAGGACTTGGCATGACAGAGCAAAGTCCAGGCGGCTGACTGCGCCACGCTCAAACCACGGAGCCCACGACCGCGCTGCTGTGGTTACCAGCGTGACGTTCTGTTGGCATATCTGGCCGCCGTCCCTCCCCCATCCGATCTCGACCCACCTCGTCTCCAGCATCTGCAGCTGCTGCAGCTGCTCTGTCTTTTCGGCCAGCTCGCGCTCCTGCCGCTGCAGTTGCTGTAGAAGCTGACTCAGTTGCTGCTCCAGGCTCGAGGCGCGCGTGCGCCATTCGGTGAGCTCGCGCGAGCGGCTCTCCTCAGCGGCGGTGGCGCGTCGCGCGTCCCGCTCAGCCTCGTCCTTCTCAACCTCCAGCGCGTCCAGACGGTGGCGCAGCCTGGTAAGCTCGCGCGAACTAGCGCCGGCCGGGTCGCCACGAGATGGTGGCTCGGTCGGCATAGTGCGCAGCGATGACCGCAGCTGCGGAAAGTCAGAGGTTGCACGGGGTGGTCAGGGCGAATAAAACAGCATAAAATACCACAACAAAGTACATGAATATCCCCATTATATGTGCTTATATATAATGACGGAGTGTGGAGCGCGACGTAGATGTGGACGATAGTGACGGTGCTGGCGGTGAGCACAACTTCGGTTGAAAGCCACTGATGACCAGCGTGGAGAAACAAATGCTTACAGATGTGATGCCATCAATCAGGTTTTTCCAAAAAGTAGGCAGCGCATTTCAAGCTTTCACAGATTACGTCGCCGACCCCCCGAAATCGCCATTCGGAACACCTGAAAACATTGTTCCAGAGCGCAAAAGGTAGATACGCAACCCCGTGTCTGCCGCCAACCGAGTACCAAACGTAATAAAGACGTGCGTGGGGCAATAATCACGGGCAAAATGCCCAGCCTGTGGCAAAAAAGCCTTAATGACACGGCCAAAGCAGCCCCGAACGCGCTGTCAGTGACAAGCCGTGGCCAACGTTTGCATAGGTACTTAAATGTGACTCCAAGTTCAGAGCAGAGGGGCACAGCTGGCGGTGCCACCACTTGCGTACATGAAATCACAATCTGCGCGATGTGTTTTCACTCACGCGCAATACAACAAGCGTATGAGGCTACAACGCCACACTATAAGTAATGAGAAACGATCCATGGGCTACCACAACCAATTATTCGACATTCCCACTGAAAGTACCGCGGAAGTTCTAGTTCGCGGTCTCTTAGCCTGTCTCGCGGTCCTCCCAGTCCATCTCGTGCTCCACCCAGTCCGTCTTCCGCTCCTCCCAGTCCGTCTCGCGCTCCTCCCAGTCCGTCTCGCACTCCTCCCAGTCTGCCTTGCGCCGCTCCCCAGGCCGTCTCGCGCTGCTCGCAGGCCGCTCTGTACGTCGCGCCGCCACACATGCGTTGGCCCACCCACCTTGGACCGGTCCAGGCAGCTGGTGTAGGTCTCGCGGGCGTCCAGCCGGTCCGACAGCATACTCTCCGGGCGCAGTGACGACCGCAGCGACTCCTGCGGCATCGGGCACGTACGTCAGGTGCGCCGGCATGGTCGCCGCCGTCGCTGCCGTCGCCGGCCGGCAGGCGCAACAGTCGGCTCCAGTCCGCGACAGGGGGAGGGAGCCAAACGTCACCGGCCCCTCCCGCTGTCGAGAGTGCCCAGCAGGTGGAGACGGCGGAGAGCCGGCCGGAGCAGTGTCACCTGTCTTCGCCAGTGCGGCTGCCGCCATACAGAGCCTATCCTGATGGCCGTGGACGTGTGGCCCGCGTGCACTGAGAGTCCCGTCACCACCGACGCCCGTTCACGGCCGGCAGCTCTCCCGGCGGCCGGCAGCTCTCCCGGCGGCCGGCAGCTCTCACGGCGGCCGGCAGCTCTCCCGGCGGCCGGCAGCTCTCCCGGCGGCCGGCAGCTCTCCCGGCGGCCGGCAGCTCTCCCGGCAGCCAACAGTGACGGTCGTCACCGAGGCCGTCCTGTTCAACGTCCGGTCTGCTGCTGCACCGCTAACCTCTCGCCGAAAACGGAAGCACGCGAAGCATTTGGATCACCAGGACGCCAACAGCACATCTAAATATGGCCAAGCTCGGCGCGCACTTCTTGCACAGCGTGTGTCCTTCTGCGCCACCAGCGTCGCGCGGTCTGTGCCACAGTGCTACACCTGTCACCTCTGAACACCCAACTTACAGCGAAACCCAAACACGAGGTCACTGCGGACCGGCGAATGACGAACACCAGCCTGACGGCCCCTGAAACATCGCTTGGTCCGGCCGGAACACAGGCAACACGAACCGGGCTCTGATACTGAAGTGGAGCATCGAACTGACGGCCGGCTTCCAACGGCGCTCGGATAACCCGCCGCTAGTCAGCGGAACCGAACCTGACAAATGGTCATGATCTCTGTGCACAGCAGCCACGCCGCCTCGGATGTCCCGCCGCTAGTCAGCGGAACCGGACCTGACAAATGATCATGATCTCTGTGCACCGGAACCCCGCCGCCTCGGATGTCCCGCCGCTAGTCAGCGGAACCGGACCTGACAAATGGTCATGATCTCTGTGCACCGAAACCCCGCCGCCTCGGATGTCCCGCCGCTAGTCAGCGGAACCGGACCTGACAGATGGTCATGATCTCTGTGCACCGGAACCCCGCCGCCTCGGATGTCCCGCCGCTAGTCAGCGGAACCGGACCTGACAAATGGTCATGATCTCTGTGCACCGGAACCCCGCCGCCTCGGATGTTCCCGCCGCTAGCCAGCGGAACCGACCTGACAAATGGTCATGATCTCTGTGCACCGGAAACCCCGCCGCCTCGGATGTCCCGCCGCTAGTCAGCGGAACCGGACCTGACAATGGTCATGATCTCTGTGCACCGGAACCCCCGCGGCCTCGGATGTCCCGCCGCTAGTCAGCGGAACCGGACCTGACAATGGTCATGATCTCTGTGCACCGGAACCCCGTCGCCTCGGATGTCCCGCCGCTAGTCAGCGGAACCAGGCCTGACAAATGGTCATGATCTCTGTGCACCGGAACCCCGCCCGCCGCTCGGATGTCCCGCCGCTAGTCAGCGGAACCAGGCCTGACAAATGGTCATGATCTCTGTGCACTGGAACCCCGCCGCCTCGGATGTCCCCGCCGCTAGTCAGCGGAACCAGGCCTGACAAATGGGTCATGATCTCTATGCACCGGAACCCCGCCGCCTCGGATGTCCCGCCGCTAGTCAGCGGAACCGGACCTGACAAATGGTCATGATCTCTGTGCACCGGAACCCCGCCGCCTCGGATGTCCCGCCGCTAGTCAGCGGAACCGGACCTGACAAATGGTCATGATCTCTGTGCACCGGAACCCCGCCGCCTCGGATGTCCCGCCGCTAGTCAGCGGAACCGGCCTGACAAATGGTCATGATCTCTGTGCACCGGAACCCCGCCGCCTCGGATGTCCCGCCGCTAGTCAGCGGAACCAGGCCTGACAAATGGTCATGATCTCTGTGCACCGGAACCCCGCCGCCTCGGATGTCCCGCCGCTAGTCAGCGGAACCAGGCCTGACAAATGGTCATGATCTCTGTGCACCGGAACACCGCCGCCTCGGATGTCCCGCCGCTAGTCAGCGGAACCAGGCCTGACAAATGGTCATGATCTCGTGCCAGCAGCCACGCCGCCGGAAGTCCGGCCAGCACCACACATCCGGACCGCATCCGAACCACCACCATCGCCCCCCCCCCCCCCCCCCCCAGCGAACTAAAGTGCATGAGAACGTAAAAGCCAGGTGCAAGACACAAGTAACGCAAGACCAAAAATAAATTGCCAACACTGGCTGTGACGAAGATAAACATTGACTGCTTTGCGACGCCTAGGTGCGGACTGAGTATCATCAAGGCGGGTCCCAGGCCACGTCTCCTACGCACACACCGCCGCCGCCGAGCTGTGGAGGCCAGCCGGCGCTCACGGCTCGAGGGCGACGCCCTCTCTCACACACAGACGTGCGCGCACGCACGCCCGCCCACGCACAGATGCCTCCGGAGCGGCGCGCGCGGACATGGCGGCGGCGGTGGACCGTGACGGAGGTTCTGCCGGCCGCGTCTCCTGGCCGTCGCCGGGGAAGCGTTGCGGTCCTGGCAGTCGGACCAGCAGCCAGAGAGATCCGACCAGAACTCAGCCTGCCAGGCGGGCTGCTAACGTCGGCAACCAGTGTGGTTGACTTGGCAACGCGTCACACTTCCTCAATAAGGCCGATGCTGAATAAATCGCTCTGGATCCGCCATTACCGTGCTGAGTGATTTGGAACCGTGCCATCATTTACGAGATATTCCGTGTAATTTGGTGCAGCTGGAAAATCCATAATCACGGAGACCTACAGCAAACACCTCCAAAACAACCAAAACATTACGGACCTCCGTGGAAATGGGGTTAATACACCACACGCTCTTGTTTTCCCGCCAAGTCGTGCCCAATCTGTCGAGGGCGAAACGCGACCAAAACGCGGCGTAGGCAGCAATCAGCTGGAGCATTTCAAGCGAAGAACTCAGGCAAAACGCACCAACCGGCTGCATGTAACAGGACGGCACACTCAGTCAAGCCTTGGCGAGAGCTCATGTTTTGCGGCACCCTGTTCGCACTCCTTTCATTCTTCTCCCGCTCCGATGGTCTTTCCGGCTGTTCTACATGGGGGTGCGGAGGGGGGGGGGGGGGCTAATTAGCTCCACCTGACACGGCAGGCGGGCTCGACAGGACACATGGACCTGGGTCCCCTCCAGGAGCGACAACTCTGGGTGACGGCGCACGGACGGCGCACGGGCTGGCGGAGAGCCGGGGCACAATGCCAGGTCACTCGCCGCTCCATCCAAAGCTGCGCGACAGCAGTGCATACCTGCTGCGGTCTCCATCTGCCATCTCCTTAGACCAGCTACGGCCGACAGCAGTGCATACCTGCTGCGTTCTCCTCATGCTGAGTCTCATCTGTCATCTCCTCAGACCAGCTACGGCCAACATGGCACGCAATGCAACGTCCTCATCAGCCTCCCATTTCTGATCAATCCACTGCAGTCGTGACGTCATCGAGCTCACGGATGACGTCATCGAGCTCATGGATGCTATGTTTCCTTTCGCTGACCCATTCGGTCTCGGCGTAAAAGCTCGTGGGACACGAGTCTGCTCGCCAGCTCCCGGCGAGCCGAATGCATTCGCCAGTCGCAGTCAGCTGACTGAGCATAGACCGTCTCCTCAATAACCGTCTCCCCAGAAATCTTCTCCTCAGTAACCGCCTCCTAAGAAACCGTCAGAGGGAATTAACCGTCTCCTCAGTAACCGTCTCTCTAGACATCGTCTCCTCAGTAGCCGTCTCCAAGAAACCGTCAGTGGAAATTTACTGTCTCCTCAGAAACCGTTTCCCTGGCAGCAGTCGCCTCAGTAACAGTCAGTGGGCATTACTCGTCTGCTCAGTAACTGTCTCCTCCCAGCCGTGACCGAGGTAACGGCTGTTGTCCACCCCCGGCATTGTGTTTGATTCTCCAATGTGCCACCCTCGCGCCGTTCCATTCAAAACAATCGAGAACGCCAGCACCAGGCCTCGGCTGGACCGCTGGAACACAGTCGCGTGGGCAGGCAGGGCCAATCCAAAGCGGTAAAAACGACACGTACAAACCAGCAGCACCGCCCAGACCAGCCCGCCCGGTTTATGCCGACAACCCAAGCAGCACTGCCCAGCTGACATGGGCTCCATTCATTCCCGCCCCCCCCCCCCCCCCTTCCCATTAACCTGTCTGGCGGACCGCACACCACCCTCGGCGCTCTAACCAGCGCCCGCAGACGCTGTGATTCACGCATCCCCAGCGTGACCTTGTGGACACGTCCGTGGCCTTGCAATGCAGGCAGCATGCACATGCACGGTACTGTGCCCGGACACGGGGTGTACCCGGGCACAAGAGCGTGCCCAGACCCCAGAGTACAGACGTCAGAGCGTGCGTCGGGCCGTCAAATACGGACTGCGGCAGTTTTGGACCAGCCGTGCTCCCAGGGGCAACACGCCCATTGTCACGTAAAGCAGCCCGAGGAGTCGGCGGTGATCTGCGGTTTGTGGCGCGTTTCATGCTCAGGCTATCTGCAGACCAGATGCACAGACATCAAAACATCAAACAGACATCTACAGATCTACAGATATCAAAGGCAACGTACTTGACATGGCCAACAGTGCCTACACGAATGCAAAAATGCATTACAACGCCGTGCTACAGTTCCGTCCACATCTCCGAGGTCGCGCACCAATGTACCATCAGCGGCAGCCTATGCCAGCTGAATTCAGGACCTGAGATGATCACGCAGCCCGTGCGAGGAGCCGTAACCAATCCAGGCACCACCCGCTCCTAATCCATGCTACCTGGTGGACACACGCCGCCCATTGGCCAGCACACAGCGCGCCATCGACTTGGTGCACAACCACAGTCAGGAACAGGACGGATCTGGCCACGGCCCGCCCCGCCGCCGGTGTCGGTCTGCCCTCCACGAGCACGCGCACCACCACGACA